CTAACAGCACCACACCTCCTCTAACAGAACCCTGCCTCCTCTAACAGCACCGCACCTCCTCTAACAGAACTCTGCCTCCTCTAACAGAACCCCGCCTCCTCTAACAGAACCCCACCTCCTCTAACAGCACCGCATCTCTTCTAACAGAACTCTGCCTCCTCTAACAGAACCCCACCTCCTCTAACAGCACCGCACCTCCTCTAACAGAACTGCACCTCCTCTAACAGAACCCTGCCTCCTCTAACAGCACCGCATCTCTTCTAACAGAACTCTGCCTCCTCTAACAGAACCCTGCCTCCTCTAACAGCACCGCACCTCCTCTAACAGAACCGCACCTCCTCTAACAGAACCACAACCTGGATCATCCTGATTTGAACGATTCCAGACAGGTGTTTCCAGGAACAGGTTCTCTGGACCTGAATGCGTTTGCAGCAGTGGACAGGGGGAACCTCAACCGGACCTCAATATCAGGGTTTTTAAGAAGCGTCAGAACATTTCGGGCTGTTCCGGTCCAAATCATTGTTAGTTGTGGGTTCTGCTCAGAAAAGTTCTTCCAAACATTCTTCAGGATTTGATTCAGAACATTTCATTAAGGCACCTGAAGATGAGCAGCTTTTTCTTCACATTTGGAATAAATAATCCCAACACTGGGTTCTGCCAGAACATCAGTACATCCTGTGACCCGATCCTCGGCTCGGCGAGACGGGTCACAGATTGTTTCCTGCGTCTGGCCTTTAGGTGGTTATTGAAGAGAAATGAGGCTGTGAAACGATCAATACGTCTGACGTGAAGTCCTTTATTGAAACGTGCAGAACACCTGGACCCACACGATGGTTCTGAATGTTTATTTATCTGATTTCAGGTTCTGCAGAGCCGGCCCGGTCTCTGCGACGTCCTGCAGGTTGTAGCAGAAGGATTCTCTGAAGCAAACCGGATCTGACCTGAAACACAAACCGGACCGGTTCTGACCTCTGAAACACAAACCAGACCGGTTCTGACCTGAAACACAAACCGGACCGGTTCTGATCTGAAATACAAACCGGACAACAAAGTTCAATCAGGTCATCTGGACAGTTTCTCTTTTTCTTTTTGAGAGACGCTTCACCTTTCATCCTAAGGGCTTCGTCAGTCAAACAGGAAGTCAGGGTGAAGCTCTGAGGTTCCCGGCACTCCAACAGGTTCGGCTGTTCTTGAAGCTTCAGCAGGTTCGGCTGTTCTTGAAGCTTCAGCAGGTTCAACTGTTTTTGAAGCTTCAGCAGGTTCGGCTGTTCTTGAAGCTTCAGCAGGTTCG